TAGGGTGTTTACTTATTTTCGATGTGTGTCAATATATGTGCTCGCGGTTTCGTATCAGCAATATGATGATAATTCTTTAAAATACCTTCTCATGCAGATTAACGTACACGGCGCTGAAGCGACAATATGCATGCTAGACGCCGCGATACTCGCAAATCCAAAATTCGCTTGTCAAAAAAAGTGTCACTTTTGATCCTAATAAAACAATCTACTACTTCAAATCGATTTTACTCGAGAGTATTATGAATGATTTTATGTTTACTACATTGGGCATGGAGATTTTAGTTTTTTAACCGGAATGCATCATTTTTGCACATGGCGTTTCGGAAATATTCAAGGAATATCATCTTCAGGAGCTTCCTTTCAGGGGGGCATAGCTCCCTTATCAGACATTCATCGACTCATGTTCATTGGAAATATTTTCGTATTTTTTGTAAAATTCTATGTACTATGTTTACTCCTCCTGTTGTCGCGATGCAGTTGTCGATTCCAAGTGTAGAATATATTTGCTGATGTACTCAAGCAAAAACTGTCAAGTAGGTATATCAAAAGAGTGAAATTTTAGTCTGGTAGTCATATATCACGGAAATATTCTGCGTAATAAATCAATTCTAATATTCTAATGTAGCTACTATATAATACTAATTTTCTAGCTGTCATCATACATACGTGTACAAGAATTTCTTTCACCGATATGTGGAAATTTATGGTCCATATCAGATAGAACGAAAATCGACAGAGCATACAGACTACAATTTCAATTTCACTAATTTCGGAGAATGAATTCTAGATTTCTTTATTCAAATCTGCATGTTTGTGCATAGAAATATTTCATATTGACTTCATTAAAATATTATTCAGGGTAATCACTAATCAGATCGACTTGGGTGAATGAAAATATTGCTTATATACATATTCTTTGATTTGAATTTATCGAAACTTCAGTATACCGTTTGTTAAATAGTTTAATAGGTTTTTAATATAGTTAATAGTGAAGGTTCATAATACGGTATTTTGGTGAATTTTGGTCATCAATAACTCAACTATTTTTCATCCAAATATGCAACTCATATATATTTTCGAAATTAAAATAATGATCTATCGATATCTCGTAGATTATATAGGGTGTTCCCTACAAAAAATCAAAGTTGATGTTCTTTCTGGATAAATGAATGACCCTGTATATGAAACAACTTCACGAAATAAAAGTGTAGGCCGTTTGACACACTTTTTTCATCAATTTTTTCATATCTCTGAAATCGAAAGTGTTAAGGGGGGATTCCATTTCAAGAGGCGCACCCTGTACCTTGCTTGGTTTTCAGAAAAATAATGAAGATTTGATTTGAGAAAATTGCTGAATATTTTTAAGAAATTTCAGAAGTTTACGAATCATTTGCATTTTATCTCTACAAAATAATCAAAATTGCTTTCAATTTATACTTTCAACAACAATTTTAGTGAAATTTCTCCTTTTCTCCTTCTTTTCCTTAGCCTTTACCTATACTACTAAAATATCAGAAATAAATTTGGCAGTCCAATTTTTTTATATTTCTATAGGGTTCAGAGTTATTGGGAAGTTTTGAAATTGCTGAATTCCGAACTTTCTAGGATTCCACTCGGGATTCCATTCGAAATCATGAAGAAAAATTCAATACCTCCTCTTTGCCTTTCTATATACATTCACAATTAAAACTCATAAGGTATAATGTTATATATAGATGTAAATCTCTGACAATTTCGCAGTTTTTGGATTTATTGCTGAGAATTTCATCTTATTACAAGTATATATTGTGCGATGCAATCTTTGTGGGAATCACTGCTAAAGAAAACTTTTTTCGGTGCTGAAACGTGACTGTTAATATTTTGACGAATGCGGTATACTGAATCACGATGAAAACGAAATAAATGGTGAATGTCAGAGGAAAAGGCATCTTTATCAAAAATAGCAGCATTTCCTTTCTTCTTGATCATGCCAACATAATACAAAGTGACACGCAGATTTTAAATATTATCATTTCCTGATCATTATATATCTGATGCCCATTGTATAATTTTTTTGTGGGTTTAATACCACGACCAGTTCTTTGATCGTGATTGTATCATTTTAACGACAACAGTTTTCTACAAATTATTGATTGTAGATAGAAAGTATGCCTGCAGTTCCATAATGTTTATTTTGGTTATGAAATAGTCCTCAGGGTGTTTTCTCATATACAGAGTGAGTCAAAAATGTGTACTGAGACTATACCGAGCTTACTGGAGGTGATAGAACATTGAGAAATAAGTATATAGTTTGATAAATAAACTAATGGTCCATCATCGCTGTAGTTTTCACTACTGAAGATAATTTTTTTCAGAATGGTAGATGAAGATTCACTCAATAACTCCAATTATAATCATTTTGAAATTTTGGTGCTTTCTCAGTGTCCATCCATGCTGAATTTTGGCACCATGAGAGCTTATACAGTAGGGTTTTAAATGATAACAAATAATACTTCCAACTCCAACATCCTGTATCTCAAAATCTCAAAAATGGAGCAAACACATGTTTATATGAACTTTATTTGCTATATAATATCAAAAGGAAACACCTCTTGGATTCTTTGGTAAACCCTGTATACCATAGATCAACTTTATCTATTCAACTTTATAGAAAAATTGAATTTGAGTCTGTACCTATAGGTAATCGGTATGAAATATAGTTTTCTCTATATAGGAATTGTCGTTTTTCATATTTTCAATTATACGAAATAAGAGTGAATTGAATCGATGATATATGATGGTATAGATACTGGTTAAATAAGAAATATGTGTTACATCACTCGTAGGGTCAATATTTTCGACAAAATCTATATGTTTGCTTCAGTACCTATAGGTAATCGGTATGAAATATAGTTTTCTCTATAGGAATTGTCTGTTCTTCATTCAAATTATACGAAATAAGAGTGAATTGAATCGATGATATGATGATATATTCTGGTTAAATTAGAAATATGTGTTACATCACTCGTAGGGTCAATATTTTCGACAAAATCTATATGTTTGCTTTATTCTGGTGAACATTGGTTTGGTCAACAAACCATTCTGTATTTGTTCTCAATAGCTGAATATATTTAGATACACCCTACCCTGTATGTGTTGAACATGGGTACCTACTCGAAATGAAAAAGCATAATGGCTAACAAGTTCACCAACTTTTCACGGACATACTCTGTATAATTTATTTGAAAAACTTTATCCATTTAAACATCGTTGATTTATGATGGCTATATTATTATATCGCGAACAATGTTGCAATTTTATTTTCGCCACATAGATTTTAATTATAAAGAACTGTTGACATAGGTATACATAATCATTCTTCGCCTGAGGGTAGATAAATATAATTATTTAATCATCCTATCGAAATCGTCACAGATATATAGGTAATCGGTAATCTTCTCATCACATTAAATCAATCAATCATTTTTGAATTAATTTATGTGTAATATATAAAGAGGATACCTATTCATAGAAGGTAGGTACCTTCAAAATTCATAATTATATTTATAATAATTTTCAAAAAATACAAGAATACCTACCCATATTGATACTCCATCATACAAAAAAATATTCCGGGTGATGTTTCAGAGCAGATATCTGGGTTATCAAACATATACAAACAAATTTCAAAAAACTGTGGAATACATAATATGGAAGCAGAAGCTCTCCAAGATAATCAAACCGAATCATCCTCATGTCAAATAATCTACTAGAAACTACCCCAAACTTTGAATTTTTAAATTGCACTTCCATGTTTTTTTCGGTTCAAGCCTGCAATAGTATATTACCATTACCGTTGATTGATATATTACGCTTAAGCCCTATTTGTACAGGGTGATTCACCATAAATGTCCCCCCCCCCCTCTAGCTCAGTTATTTTTGAACCGATTGCAAAATTTTAAATATCATCTAAAATGATTTTCGATAGAGTTTTTTTCCGCTGCATCAGAAAATACAAGGTGCTCGAAACAAACGATCTACAGGGTACTATTTGATTTTTTTAAATGAATCATTTCAGATGATTTTTTGAATTTTTAAATCGGTTCAAAAATAAGTGAGCTAGAGGGGCGGACATTTATGGTGAATTACCCTGTACATCGAATCTGGGGTTCTTGAAAAAGTCATAAAAGAAAAGTCAGTAACCTTTGATGAGGACTATGAGGAGATTTTTCACCCGATTGACTTTCGTATGTTCGTGGATACCCTGGTGTGTAGGGTACACCTACTGCTTTCATATACGGGGGGTCACAAAATTGATAGTCAAGCTAGAAAAAAATCACCTTGCACCTCCTTATTTCTCTTTCAGTGGCCCCACACTCTACATCACAGAGATGTCATGTCACAGATGTGTCGGCTGGGTATACGTATTTCGAAGTTCCATAACCGGACATTTTTGTTTCTTCACAGAATCGACTTTTCAATTATTAAGCGATTTGACAATGGCTTGAAAAGTCTGCTACTCTGCTGTGACACCGAAATATATAGAAAAAATCATCAAATTGAAAAGAAGACGAGGATGCGTGGTCGCGGACTTTCGATTTGGGACAATCTGTACATAATATTGTGAAACGTTCATAATACACGCCAGACTTACCAGGCTTATGCAACACTTAATACACGTGTTGTATCAAGGTTGCAAAGGTTGCATCTCGTTTGAATTAATAGCAGCGATGCCAGGTCGCGGTTTTTTTTCTGAAATCCACTTACCTCTGTATTTCCGATGATTTTATAATTTTGAATGGAGACCTTGATGAAGATCAGTAGTAGAAATCAAATAATTGGAAATATTTTTGCTACAATGTTTATGATATTCCCCAATGTCCATCGGCTTTGGGCGCTGATATTTGTGGTCAAGTGCAGTGGCATATTTATGAATTGTTCTATCTGGCAACATAGAAGTTGCCGTGTGACCAACTAGCATGCGTATGCGCTTATACCATTTGTCATTTTCGTCAATTGTCAATAATGTCCACTTTTTATTTTTTAATTTCATGGCCACCTGTCAGTGAGGCAATAATTTGTTGGGTTTTTTCTCGGGTTGACTACTAATTTTTCGTATTCGTTCTTCGACTCTGCTGCAGAATTTCGTAATCGTCATTGTTTTTTCTTCGAGTTCGGGCTTACGTTGAATGTACGATTGTCTTAAATAATTTAATTTTAATACTTGGATTCACACCGAGAGCTGAGAGTTGGAATTGGAAATACTAGTGAATAAAAATAGTTGTTTGTGTTTACCTCGGTGTTTACGCTTCCCAAGTTTTCACTGTTTGCATTCTTGGAAAGAACGCAAAATGTTCTCGCCGTGATTAAAAGTCGATTATGAAATGGCCGAAAATTGCACAGTGGTGAGATTCTCGAGGGAACCATCCCTTGCAAAGATTGAGAACCTAAAGCAAAACGAGAACCCGGAAAAATTTTCGGAATGCGGGCGATTTAGCATTTTTTACGCAATTTGTATTGCCTTATCGATCATAACCTATGTCCTAGATCTGGTTTTGGCTTGCATTTTGTTGTATTTTTATTCAGTCAATGGACATGGGGTATATTTTGCTCTGACCCTCACTTTTGTGATTATTCCTGCTCTTATTATGACTACCGTTAGCTTTCGATGGTAAGTGTATTATGTCAATCAACAAGTATATTTTTAGTTATTTTTATTCAATTCAAGTGTCCAAGGCTACATGCTTCATCAACCTTCATGGTCCTGGAAAACCCAAACAACAATATTTTTAATGTGTCTTTTTGAGTCTTGTCTACTGTCCAGATGTTGATATCTTGTAGACACCAATTGATACTGGTAATAATTCATTTTTAATCAGATCAATTGAAATGACTTTCAAATGGATCATGAGAAACTGCAATCATGTTGAATGTAATGCACAGTTGGTTATTTTGATACCCAATTGAACTCTGAATGATTCACTGCAGCAAAAATACACATAAAAAAGTCAAGCAAACAAGCTATTTTTAAATTTTATTTTTCCGTTTTCCCATCAAATTTCTTGTGGAAAAAAAATGTTTGAGAGCATTTCACTGGATGTATCTAAATGAAATTATGTATGCCTGACACATTTCTGAATTGGTTATAATCATTAAACTTTCTATTTTTCAATGCCACTGAAAATGTGAAGCAATAACTGTCAATACAACCATATATTTATCTTAAACCACTCAATTTACTCATAATTTATTATTGCATCTTTTATCAGAATTTGTCATAGGAAATTACAAACCTTACAAACAATCTTATCTTAATATTTGTACTAAGCTTGTCAATATTTCAAAATATATATCTGTCATACTGGATAATTCTCCAAAATTGCAATATATTCATGATTTAATTTTAGAATGACATTTTTACAGGTATATTGTGGACCATGATGATCCAGCTTTGAACAAAACTTCTGTTTCCCAATGGATAATCAGGATAATATTCCTGCTGCTGCAGTTGGCCCCATTGCTCAGATATATTGACACCCTAATCTTGGGTATCCGCAGTAAAATTGCTGGGGCTACTGACAATGAACCAAAAAGGGCAATTCTTTACAGGAGAATGCTGGATGAAGACACCAATAGTGCCCTACTGAGGCTGTTTCACTGTTTCTTGCATGCTGCACCTCAGGCTATTATACAATTGGTGATATTGTTGACACATGTTGTGCATCCTGAGAAACCAATGTTAGATATAAGTGAGTGATTTCCTAACTGAATTTTTTCAACCAAAACAATTTCTTATTTTTCATTGTAGATGTTGCTGTTCTACAAGCATGGAGTGTTCTGGTGGGCCTAATGTCCATGGCTTGGTCTTTGACTTCTTACCACAGATCTGTGAGGTATGCCAGGGATGACAAGGACAAAATTAAATGGGGAGGAATATTGGTGGCTTTCTGTTGGCAACTCATGAGTGCATGTAAGTTGATGGACAAGTCACATTCACTAAATTATAGCCAGAAGATATTAACAAGAAATGTTGAAAAATACTGTCAACTATATTATCAGACAATAATCTCATGAGTAGTTTGCCACCAATGATTACTGTTATGCTAATCTATAAATTACACTTTATTATGTTGAGTGTCATGTGAATAAGCTAGGACAACCTTATCCACGGACCTTACCAGAGCTAAATGGTGTTCCTGTTTATTTATGTAGGCCAAAATATGGTGAAATTATTTTCTATATATTACTATGTAAATAAACTTCTATTCTATTCTATTCTATTGTAATGGGAAATGGACAAACTGAATATTTATCCACCCTGAATAGACCAGTAGTTTAGGTATGTCAAAATTTTCATAAAAGTTAATGGGAATTCCAGGTGTAAGTATGGAAATCAGCATTCTTTTTGTGATTGTTCTTGTTTTTATGTATCTTCAATTACTCATAACTCATATAATTAGTACAAGTCACAACTTTTGAGAGTAAAGTCAGAATTCTGACATGTCTTCTTGTTTCAGAAATACACTTAAATTAAAAAAAGCATACAGCATATTTGCATAAATCAGGCTATCAGGAATGATTTTTTACCAAATGTTGACAGTTGTCATAGGTTGTCAAAAATACAAAGCATTGACTGAGCCAGTTTCACACAACTAGAACTAGGATGTTGTTAACCTCTCTGTTTAATACTTGTACATTTTTTATTGAATACAACTGTACAAGTAATAATCCTGATACATTAGTAAAAAGTACTGATTCTGAGATACAAGCCAGAATTATGACTCATAAATTACAATTGAATAGCTTTTCCAAAGTCAATTGGAGTAGGTCAGCATAAAATGTGGCATGTTGATATTGACAAGTTAACATTCTTAAATACAAGGTGAAGTTTTGATATAGAAAATAGAACTGAAATGCTAGTCATAATTCTGAAATACAAGTCAAAATCACAACATACAAATATCTTTATATTTGAAAAAAATATTAATTTCAGTACATTGTTACCTTATTCCGGTGCAGAAGCCAACAGGACACTATTTATTTTCGAACGGATTTATTTGAATTGAAGAAACACTGATTCATATGGAACTTATAACAACTACTATTTATGTAAAACGATTTATATCACATGGTATATGACTTGTCTCTCTGACACTCGCTGCTCGACTGACTGACGGCAGTTGTTCGGCCGTTTATATTTGAGATCCCTTGGAAGGCTTTGGTTGATTGTACATTGGCTATATTCCGAATTCAACTGACAGTACTGAATCTGCTGATTTTCCATTCCGAAATCAAAAAATTCACTACGGAAATGATTCTCAATATCAGAAAATACCAGGAATATGAAGTAGTAGAGCAGGTAAGGAAAGGAGCAGCATTGGCTAAATAAACTAAATAAACCTGGAATGTCTCCTAAAATTAGTCATTATTTAGGCATATTGCGATTTTCATAAATCTCAATTCTCAATCTGGTGCATCATGAGAAATTTATGGCAACAAAATGTCCAAGTATTCTTCATCACTCGAGCTTGAATCGCCATCGTCAACAATCGTAGAAACAATAGAGGATACAAGAATGGATTTCTCTTCCATGTTAAATATTAAATTCCCAAAATTTATAACAAGTAGGAGGCTAAACATCTAGTTCAGATAAACGAGAAACTACTAATGATGAAAACCATGAAAACGTGTCCCGAATTACAGTAGTGAATTTTTGATTTTATATTTCGGAACACAGATTTTCAGCAGAGTCAGTGGATCAACTGACAGTACTGACCAGTTGAATTCGGAATATAGCCATTGATTGATGTGTACACAATACACCAGTGCGAATAATTAAGAGGTAATATAGGTGCTAATTTCCTTTTTGTGTCGTAGTGTCAAGAGTGCTGGCCCTCAGCCTGCTGGCGTCGATCTTCCCGGCGTGGATGGGGTGCGTGTGCGCCCTGCACTGGGGCGTGATGTCCGTGTGGCTGGCGCTGGGCCAGCACCAGACCGCCGCCTGCAACAGCCGGTGCGACGAGCTGCTGCTCTCTGCCGCCCTAGGTAAGACTAAAGTTCCTAAATGTGCTTGACACTGCTGTTTTGACGTTTTTTGTATATTAGAAAACGGACACTAGACAAGCAGTGACAATCAAACATAACCACAAACGATTTTGAACCAAATCATATGTTTTCCAGACAAGGACAAGAATATATTTTCGCTTAGATAAAGTATCTTCGCATCTTCCTTCCTCCACAAGTCCTGGGAAGAGTACATCCATATATCTTTCTCTGTCTTTGATTTTTGTATGAAAGTGAATAGCGTCTTCTGGAGTGGATAAAAGGGTGCCATAAATTGTTTAGAAAATTGATTTCTTCTTGAAATATTGAATGATGAGGATGAAGGACCTCAATGAAGGTTGATATCAAGTTGGTATGTACATAAATACTAACGAAATACATATACTATTCCTATGAAAGGCTCTTTATATGTAGGTATATATATTCGTTCAGTTGAAAATTTTTTCATCACAAAAATTCAGAATGGGGTGAAAACTGATAAATTGTAACAAATGAAACATACTTTTATTTCGTATGGAACAATTTCACTTGTACAAGAGTGGTAGGTAACAAGTTATTAATAAATGCAGTGGCGGCTCGTGACTTTCATGACAGAGGAAGCTGAATGATATGAGATTTATTGTGAAAAACAACTCTCTACTCAATAAAATCAATAGCTTTAAAGACATTCTGTTTACCAGTTAACAGTGTTAACCTGAAATTAATACTTGAAGAGATGTGTTCCTGTGATTTGCATTGTCTATCCAATCCGCGAGGCAAATTTTTCAAATCATTATATCCTAATCGCCCCCACAACATGATATGACTTACCGGTTGAATATATAATACGCAGTACCAACAAAATAGCTTATTCCTTACCTCAGATCCCATCAACCAGATATATCTTTAATAATCATCAGAATTGAACGAACGATTTTGTTTGTTACCTGTTACAATCAGATTTTTTAATTTCGGTGTCGGACGTTTGTTTTTCACAATTAATTTATCTTCATGAGACAAAGCACTGAATGGGTCCACCAAAAAGTATTCCACTAAATCGCAATCGTTTAAAACACTCATTTTTCAGAAATTCATAGAGCCCCTAATCATTAACCTAACATAAACAATGCACTCGCGCTGGATTGTCCGCAATTCGCGACGCAACACGACAAACACGTGCTATTCGGGCATTTGCACTGCGCGCGTGGGTTGCGAATTGTGAAGGAGTCTAGCCTCCTATAGATGTTGCCAAGTTGAATATTTTACGCGTGATTTGCAGACTTCAACGTGTGATGCGTGGGCAAGCATTGTTGTCAATTCAAAAATATTTACCTAAAAACAGGAAATAAAATCAAAATCCATGTATTTTGGTGTCCTTTTAAAGAGAAAGTATAGATAATATCAGTTTAAGGAACATCTCTGAGGAGGCTCAGCCTCCGTTGCCTCCTCTGAGGAGCCGCCACTGAATAAATGAACAACAATAATAGCTGATTTCAGTTAGGATAAATAATAAAAGTTCTCCAAGACATACGGAAGTATGTATAAATGGGCTTCAGCGCTCGACTCACTATAGACCGCCGTTCACATTTATAAAGGGGATTGTTGGTTTGAACCCGGCCATCGGAAGATCATTTTCAATACCCAACATGAATGGTGCACTCGTTAAGCGTTCTTGTTCTGTGCTCTGATAATATTTTGCGCCTATCTTGGTACCCAAGAAGTGGTTCAAAATCCACTAGGAGCTATGTATAGTCGTCTAGCACTTTTCAACTACGCATGAACATTCAGACTTGGGATTTCAACAAGCGATACACGAACAATATATTCAACTCTTTGATATAGATACATCCATATCTTTGCATCCCATCTGTTACCATTAAATTTCGAATTTTGAGATAAATCATGCTCATATGAAGCAACATTTTTACTAATATTATTCAAATCTTCCATTCGGTTTTTTAAATGCAAAAGTTTTTCATAGTATTGTTCATCTAAACTATGAATTTTGCTCAAAATTGCCTGGTTATTTGTTCATTCAATTTTCTTGTATTTCTCTGAAGATATTTGCTGATTTTGTTCCCAATCTGAAATAATTTTTAGGTAATAGTTCTGAATTTTGCTAACTCTAACTTTTGTATCTAAATCTATTTGCTTTAACTTATTTTCCAACTCTCTATTTTTTCTTCTACTTGTCTCCTGAATTCCTCACTCTCTTCCTCTCGTAAACCTTGGATTTTTTAATATTCCTGCTATAAAAATTTCTCTCCATACAATCCTATTCCTCAACATCAAATCTTCCGTTCTGAAGTGTACCTGATAAAAATGCGTTGAAAAATGTTATATACCCTACCAAGAAATTTTAATACCTCGCAAATTTCGTGGCCGGAACCTATATTCCATGCCGGTCGCATCATATTCTGTTTCCATTTTTGTAGAATCACGTTCTTCGATGGAAATTCCAACAGAGTGAATTAATTTCCCGTGTTCTCACAGTTGTAAACTGCACAAACTTGCATCTTCCTCCTAATTCTCTCAATTTGTCAAACCTTTGAAATTTATGTCATGTACGTCCGTGTACTCTCAGTTCCCTTTTTTTCCATCAATTTATTTGTGGTTATGTCTGATTGTCAGTGCTTGTCATGTCAAGTACATTTAGGAACTCTGGTTTCCATGTGGTCATAGTATTCCTTGTGGAAATGAGCACTCTTTCCTATTCCAATGGTCTATCCAATTCCAGGCCTGGCGTACGTGCTAGCCTTCATATCGCCGCGAGACGGCCCCACTCGCTACGTTTACCTTGCCTACTACCTGGTCTGCTTCATGGAGAACACCGCCGCCCTGGTGGTGTGGTGCGTCACCAACAACTCGCTGGACAACCCCGTCCTCTACTACGGCGCCGCCGTGGGACAAGTGATCGCTTTCCTGCTAGCCATCGTCTTCCTGCTCATCTACTACAAGTGCTGTCATCCGTCGTTGATGAACCGCTCGAAGATACCGAGCTTGGACTCGGACTTTTTGGAGTCCGAGAGGCCGGGTTACAGCAAGAGCTACAATCTGAGGTCGAGGTCTTGATCTTTGGTGTACGTCTGAAGGGACGTGGTAGATGCCGGTACACGGGTATAGATATAAAACACGATTTGGGGGCGAAAAGACTTGAAATCCGATGGGTAATGACTCGAATCTGCTCACATCAAACTTGATTTATTGCTGGGCGATTTCAGCTTCGGCAATGCTACCGATGAAACTTGTAATCATAGGTAATTTTTATCACTTTTCATGCGATGGTTTCTTTTTTTTTTTTTTTTCGAAAAATTGGTTTGTTACTTACGTATTTTGGTCTGAAAAACACAAATCAGGTAATGAAAATGTGAACAAACCAATATTTATCAAGATATTTCAAGGGATAGTTCGAAATTTCGCCTTCAGTTTCCCCTATCTTGGATGCATTAACAGCTACTTGCTCTTCTTATATTGTCATTGAACACTTTATATACCCATGATGTACTTCAGTGCCTCATTTCATTCCAAAATCAGAGAAATTCACTGAAATATCATGTTTCATGATTCAGTTCACGGCGTTCACGTCAAAGTATCGTCACTGTCACCGAACAAAAACCCGAAAAACTCATCTTAATTGCTGGCCAGGAAACGCAGAAGGCTCCAAACTGTCATTCATGTCAACTACTACAAATGCTGTCATCCGTCGTTGATGAACCGTTCGAAGATACCGAGCTTGGACTCGGACTTTTTGGAGTCCGAGAGGCCGGGTTACAGCAAGAGCTACAATCTGAGGTCGAGATCTTGATCTTTGGTGTACGTCTGAAGGGACGTGGTAGATGCCGGTACACGGGTATAGATATAAAACACGATTTGGGGGCGAAAAGGCTTGAAATCCGATGGATAATGACTCGAATCTGCTCACATCAAACTTGATTTATTGCTGGGCGGTTTTAGCTTCGGCAATGCTACCGATGGAACTTGTAATCATAGGTAATTTTTATCACTTTTCATGCGATGGTTTCTTTTTTTTTCGAAAAATTGGTTTGTTACCTACGTATTTTGGTCTGAAAAACACGAATTAGGTAATGAAAATGTGAACAAACCAATATTTATCAAGATATTTCAAGGGATAGTTCGAAATTTCGCCTTCAGTTTCCCCTATCTTGGATGCATCAACAGCTACTTGCTCTTCTTATATTGTCATTGAACACTTTACATACCCATGATGTACTTCAGTGCCTCATTTCATTCCGAAATCAGAAAAATTCACTGAAATATCATGTTTCATGGTTCAATTCACGGCGTTCACGTCAAAGTATCGTCACTGTCACCGAACAAAAACCTGAAAAACTCATCTAAATTGCTGGCCAGGAAACGCAGAAGGCTCCAAACTGTCATTCATGTCATCTACTCCAATGCTGTCATCTGTCGTTGATGAACCGCTCGAAGATACCGAGCTTGGACTCGGACTTTTTGGAGTCCGAGAGGCCGGGTTACAGCAAGAGCTACAATCTGAGGTGGAGGTCTTGATCTTTGGTGTACGTCTGAAGGGACGTGGAAAACTCATCCAAATTGCTGTCCTGAAAACGCAGAAGGCTACAAACTCCAAACTATCATTCATGTCATCGACTCATGTTGTGCTGTCATCGTTGATGAATGGCTCGAAAATTGAGAGCTTGGATTCTGATTTTTTGGACTCTGAGAGGCCAGGGGCCGGGGTACAGCAATATCTACATTCACAGGTCGAGGTCTTGATATTTGGTGTACATCTGAAGGGACGTAGAGGATAGTTGGCTTGGAGCCGGTACAGGAGTATGGATATAGAACACGATTTGACTAGCCATCCGATGAATATAACAAAATATAATATGTTTCCTATTGGTATGGCGCAGATTTTAACTCGCGCTTTAGTGGCGGAATTTGAAGCAGCCTCAAAACGATACTTGTCAGCTGATTTCCATGAAATGTCTTGTTTTCTGGTTCAGTTCACACAACATTCACGTCAAAGTGTCGTCACAAACTGTTCTCGTATAAATATGGATGAGCTTTTGTTACTGCATTAGAGGTCTTATGGTAGGTTAGGTTGGGTCAGTAAATTTGACAGTTTCCAATTGTGACACTAGCGGAGTTCAAGTAATCTCATCAAAGTAGTCACTGTCACAGAACTAAAACCCGAAAAACTCATCTGAATTGCTGGCCAGGAAACACAGAAGGCTCCAAACTGTCATTCATGTCATCTACTACAAGTGCTGTCATCCGTCGTTGATGAACCGCTCGAAGATACCGAGCTTGGAATCGGACTTTTTGGAGTCCGAGAGGCCGGGTTACAGCAAGAACTACAATCTGAGGTCGAGGTCTTGATCTTTGGTGTACGTCTGAAGGGACGTGGAGAATAGTTGACTTGGAGCTGGTACACGGGTATAGTTATAAAACACGATTTGGGGGCGAAAAGGCTTGAAATCCTATGGATAATGACTCGAATCTGCTCATATCAAACTCGATTTATTGCTGGGCGATTTTAGCTTCGGCAATGCTACCGATGAAATTTGTAATCTTAGGTTATCCTGCACTTGTTTTGCTACATATTTCAGTCTAAAAAACACGAATTTGATAATGAAAATGTGAACAATCCACTATTCATCGAGATAGTTCAAGAAATAGTTCGAAATTTTTTTCCCCTGTCTTGGATGCATTTACAGCTACTTGCATGCACATACAGCAAAACTTGCCATGCTATTGGCTGTGCTATTGGCGAATCAGGGTACAATTCCTAGACCAAACGTGGCCTCGAACAGTTTTTTTGCAAGGAATACTCATCAAGTAACACACATGAATCTCAACAAACATGAAAGGAATACTTTGTATAATTTGGACTATTATCTACTAGACTGAAAATCCAGTGGATCACTCCAGTAGTTATGCGAGGTGGATTCGCGTACGTAATTTCATTGACTAGAGGGAATGCTGGGTGTAAAATATCTGCAATGTTGCTTTCCACTGCTTTTTCAGTGGAGTGTGAGAGAAGACGGAACAGAGTTCCTATTTCTCTTGCTATCTATCGAGAGGAGCAGCGGGGATCGAAATAATTTGTTTCCAAAGTGAGCAACACGCCCACTTTTCTCTCGGCAGACTAGTTTTCTTGATTCAAAAATAAGGGCCCAGGAGACAGAAAGGGGAAGTTTCATTGATGGATTCTGGTCCATTATAAGGCACTATAGTATAACCGACTGGTGTTGCCTGAATAGTAATAATAATCTTATTACCATGATGTAGAAATAAATATTGGGTTTGCTAAAAATTCGTTCGCATCACTTTGCAATGTAGATATGCAGCAAAACAAATATTTTTCTACAATAAAACATTAATCTCGCGAGACACCGAAATTGATGGGTTAGTTTCGAATTTGAAAGATCTAAAATTTCATGTTTGGCAATTTGGTATTCAAGAAATAAATAGATTATTATATATATATAGGGTTATTCTGAAAATCTTGACATTTGTATAGCAAAATACACATCTCATTTTTTTATGAATTTTACACTGATCAATCACCATCGCCATTTATCATGCTTGCTTCAATAATTTGATCTCCCAGTTTTATTTCTACAACATTTTTCGATCAAATTTCTGACGCGGAATTTTTACAGTAGAAATTATACTAATTGGAAATATTTCAAACATAGAATCCCGAACTCAAAATATGAAGATTCAACCCAAATCACCTAGATAAAATATGTCTCCTGTCTGAGTTACAGGGTGTTTTATTCAAAAATTTTGAAATGTTTTTTGCCCAGTTCTTCAAAACTATTTGACGTATCACTTTCATATTTGGAGGGAAGTGTAGGTATTATACACCCAACTGAATTATGTGAGATGAACTTTTCTAGCTATTACCAGAGGCGTACGACAGGGGCAATTAACTGGTTAATCCCTCCCAAATTGTACGCCACTGGCGGAATTGCAATTCTATCACAAATTTTCGATTCTATAACAATTTTGACGTAGATATTGTACTCTTTCTCCATGGCGATAAAGTCATTATTTTTCTAGATATTTCAAGTTAAAAATAAATCTGCACAATCATTTTGATTTCAATGTGCATTAATTATGTCAATATTTTGGATCAATGGATTGGATTAATCAATAAAATGAAACTTCAATTCATATTAACAATAAAAACATAATTACATAACAGACAGGAGCTGTTTCAGGGTGTTTAATTATGTAATATATTAAACAATTTAAAACGCCCTGTAACAGCTCCCGTTTGTTATGTTTTTATGTTAATATGGATTGAAGTTTCATTTGATTGATGAATGCAGTCCATTGATCCAAAATATCGATATTATTGATACACATTAAAATGAAAATAATTGTGCTGCTTCATGTTTAACTTGAAATATCTCCAAAAATGATGACTTTATCGCTATGAAGAAATAGTATATACAATATTTACGAAGAAGGTATGGAAGAATCGAAAAATTCTGATGAAATTGCAATTCCGCCAGTGGCGTAGAATTTGGGAAGGATCAACCAGTCACTTGCCCCTGTCGTACGCCTCTGGTAATAGCTAGAAAAGTTCATTTCACATAATTCAGTTGGATGTATAATACCTACACTTCCCTCCAAATATGGAAGTGATACGTCAAATAGTTTTGAAGAACTGGGCAAAAAACATTTAGAAATTTTTCAATAAAACACCCTGTAACTCAGACAGGAGACATATTTTATCTAGGTGATTTGGGTTAAATCTTCATATTTTGAGTTCGGGATTCTATGGTTGAAATATTTCCAATTAGTAATGAAACACCCTGTATAGGAACTGAGGAAAGATTCCAATGCATTGAAAAATCTCAATAAGAAATCAGAGACAAAATCCGAGATTTTTATTGTTATTGATGTTTTGTAAAACACATGCTACTTACACTGGTGAGATTTTTTGTGGCACCAAAAGATTAACTATGTAGAAACATGATAATTAAGACTGCCAAGTGCCAATGTTTCATCAAATATTGCCTTAAATGTGAGTGTATAGAGAAATTGTATAATACTGTTGAAGCTTTAAATTTTATCATTCTGTCAGTTGTTTATGGAGTCCCTTGTGATATTGGGAAATTTTTGATAAAAAATCCACAGAACTTTATTGGGAGAATATATATAATAACACATACTTATATGATTGTTGACGAATTGTAATGAGTTTATGTTTATGAACATTTTTGCTTAAATTAGGAGATTGGAACATTATAGTATTATAATCTTAAATTTGTATTATAATGTACTTAAATTTTTTATGTAGGATAGTATTTTCACAAGAATGATGTGAATATTTTTAAGAGTATTCATTATTTTGAAACAAATCTGTATTGTCACAAAATTATTGATGTGCAAATAGATGAGAGCTTTTATTCTTGTTACAATATTTTTGGGTTTCTCAGAAGTTTAAGGGAACAATATATGTATACATGTCTGAAATAAGTATTTATATTTGTATTATACTTGAAAATATTGTAAAAACTTAGTATTATAAATATTTTAAGTGTTGATTCTTAATAAAAATATAATAAATAATGGAGGTTTTATTGAGATGAATGAAGTTTCAAACAATTTATTTTATTCATTGTCTGTACTTGTACTGCCTTGTGTTATGAATACCTGCTGTGCCCCTGAATTTTGTTGTGCCACCTAAAAAAAAATTAAAAACAAAATTCAAATACTCTAAGAGTATAATATAATAGAAAAACAACAAATGAGGTTCAAAAGCAATCTATAGGGCTCTCACACTAGGTTGATAGTTGCGCAATACTTGGTAACAATGTCGTGCCAAAACTGCACATCGAAAAATACTAGTAACATTCAAAATAGGCGAACCGCGTTATCGATTTAAGTTGGCAAAACTGTACACCGATGCCAGATTTATTTGACATTTCTAGAACCGATTTGTTGTGATCAGCTGATCACTGTGAATTATTCACTACTGACAATTTCTACTTTCAAGGAATTGTTTGTGATTTATTTGTGGATCAATGTATTTTCAACCCAATTGAAATGATATGGGAGATCACCAACACTTATTATAAAGATCATGTTGGCCAGCATATGGGAGTTCTGTGGTAAAATCTCTGGATATGTGGAAAGAGTCTCTGAGGCAAGTTACTCCAGATATATGGGCCAATAGTGTCTGCCATACTGAACAAATAATTCAAAGTTGGTGGGAGAGAG